CCTTCCTTCCTTCCTTCCTTCCTTCCTTCCTTCCTTCCTTCCTTCCTCCTAGGCGAAGCAGTAAGACAGCGAGAGGGATCCAGGCACAGCTGATCATCAGAACAGCTGATCATTCTCTCCTTCCTTCCTCCTCTCCTTCCTTCCTCCTCTCCTTCCTTCCTCCTGGGCGAAACAGTGAGGGGGATCCCAGGACAGCTGATCATGAGAATAGCTAATCATCCTCTCCTTCCTTCCATCCTCTCCTTCCTTCCTCCTCCTTCCTTCCTTCTTCCTCTCCTTCCTTCCTTCCTTCCTTCCTTCCTTCCTTCCTCCCTTCCTTCCTCCTGGGAGAGGCAGTAAGACAGTGAGGGGGAATGTGGCACAGCTGATCATCAGAACAGCTAATTGTCCTCTCCTTCCTTCCTCCTCTCCTTCCTTCCTCCTCCACCTCCTCCTCCTCCTCTCCTTCCTTCCTCCTCCTCCTCTCCTTCCTTCCTTCCTTCTTTCCTCCTGGGCAAAACAGTGAGGGGGATCCCAGGACAGCTGATCATGAGAATAGCGAATCATCCTCTCCTTCCTTCCATCCTCTCCTTCCTTCCTCCTCCTCTCCTTCCTTCCTTCATCCTCTCCTTCCTTCCTCCTACTTCCTTCCTTCTTCCTCTCCTTCCTTCCTTCCTTCCTTCCTTCCTTCCTTCCTTCCTTCCTTCCTTCCTTCCTCCTAGGCGAAGCAGTAAGACAGTGAGGGGGATCCTGGCACAGCTGATCATCGGAACAGCTGATCATCAGGAGGGGAAAAAAAGAAATACCTTAAGGAGTGACTTTTTGGGGGAAACGCATGTGAGCAATGTCGTGCATGCGCGCTAAGGACTGACTGGGTGGGGAACAGAGGGGTGGGCGGAAAGGGGCGGGCCCAGTCAGTTTCCTGGGCAGAAAGGGGCGGGCCCAGTCAGTTTTCTGAACTGCACAGAATCATAACAACCAGTTCTATAGAACTGGTCCGAACCGGTAGAATCCCACCCCTGCCAAAGTTCCTTTCCAATTCTTTTATTCTGTTATTATCTGCCGTGATTCACTTAACAAATGTGGCACGGACATTGTAAAAGGATGGCAAAATTCATTTAAACAAATTTCTCACTCAGCAACATAAATTTGGGCTCGATCGTGGTCGTACGTTGAGGACTACAGCACCCGGCCTATGTTTAAGGATTGACGAGGCGCTTTCCAAAATTTGGGCCACACAATTGGTTTGACTGGAGGGTTTCGTGATGCTTTTGTTTCCGCCTCTGGGTTAGCACGTAAAAGCAACGAGCGTCATTAAAAGAAACGGAATCAATTTGCAAAGCCGACGCCGCGATAGAGAGCGGCGTTTTAGGAAGAGGGGAAAAAAAATATATCCCCTTCCCCAATGTACCTTATTAAGGGGAAACGTGTATCGTGTCTGGCTTAAATTGCAAAATCCGCCAGTGCCAAAATGCGCCCCCGAGGAAACGTGCATGTAAAAATGTCAGCGCCGTGGAAAAAAAAAGAAAAATTGCACGTTTGGTCGGCACGGAGGAGTCAACGCCCCAGAGGGCCTGAATTTGTTCCAAACAAAGAGAGAGAAAAGAAACCAAGGTAAGTGGTTGGCCGCAGTCCCACAATGGAAGGGGAATTTTTTTTAAATGAGTATTGTCTCTGTGTCGGGATCCAGGGTGGGATGCAAATATTTTTACGACCAGTCCTACGGGCGTGGCTAGGTGGGCGTGGCTAGGTGGGCATGGTCATGTGACTGGGTGGGTGTGGCTTCTTCTTCTTCTTCTTCTTTTTTTGCAGCCCCCTCCTGGGATCTGTTTTTCGGCCGCCTGGGCCTCGGGGAAGACGCCTGGGACCTTCCAGGAGGCTTCCCTGAGGCCCAGGAAGGCAAAAAATGGAGCATGGGGGGGGGGATGGACACAGCTCCCCCCACTCATCGTGGACACCCCCCTCACGTCCCTTTTTGCTTCCTGGGCCTCAGGGGAGCCTCCTGGGCGAAGCAGTAAGACAGTGAGGAGATCCTGGCACAGCTGATCATTGGAACAGCTGATCGTTCTCTCCTTCCTTCCTCCTCCTCTCCTTCCTTCCTTCCTTCCTTCCTTCCTTCCTTCCTTCCTTCCTTCCTTCCTTTCTCCCTCCCTCCTGGGAGAAGCAGTAAGACAGTGAGGGGGATCCCGGCACAGCTGATCATTGGAACAGCTAATTGTCCCCTCCTTCCTTCCTCCTCTCCTTCCTTCCTCCTCCTCTCCTTCCTTCCTCCTCCTCTCCTTCCTTCCTCCATTCCTTCCTTCCTTCCTTCCTTCCTTCTTTCCTCCCTTCTTTCCTTCCTCTCTCCCTCCTGGGAGAAGCAGTAAGACAGTGAGGGGGATCCCAACACAGCTGATCATAGGAACAGCTGATCATCGGGAAGGGGAAAAAAAAGAAAGAAATATCAGTTTGGTCAAACCGGGGCTGTTTTTTTTACTACCGGTTCGCCCGAACTGGACTGAACTGGTAGAATACCACCACAGGTCGGTATTTTTTTTCACACTCTAAGGACACCTTTGAAATTTACAGGGAGAGAGAAAGAGAGAGAGAAAGAGAGAGAGAGAGAGAGGGAGAGACCAGCTGAGCCTTCCAAAAATGAGAAGATTCTGGGGGTCCTCAACTTACGACTGCAAAAAGAATTCTTGTTGTTAGGTGAGATGGTTGTTAAAGGAATTTTGCCCCATTTGGCGACTTTTCTCAGCATGGTCATTAAGTGAATTGCTGTAGTTGTTAAGTGTGCAACATGGTAGTTAAGCAAATGTGGCTTTCCCCCATGGACTTTGCTTGTTGGAAGGTCACAAAAGGGGACTGTGTGACCCCAGGACACTGCAACTGTCATAAATATGAGTCAGTTGACAAGCTATCTATCTATCAAAGAAAACTTCTTCTGGCCCTGTACATTCCTTCTATTACCCCCATTATTTTCCTGCTTCCTTCCTTCCTTCCTTCCTTCCTTCCTTCCTTCCTTCCTTCCTT